CACAGAACAAAGGCAAAAACCCCATTTGAACATTCGCGCCCTCGGCAAACATTTCCTCTCCCTCCCCTACCCCGGGCGTTATGCATACGGGCCATAATCTCTCCACTCCGTTACCAAGGCTTAGCTGAGGTCATCTGTGAACGGGTGACGACGTCGATGGCCTCCTGGCCCTTAGCGTACAATTGTGCGTTGCCAAAGTCCCATGCTCAGGGCTTTGAGCCCCAATTTGTGAGCGACACCTATAGAGGAAGGTGCGTTTTTAAGCTGTGGCGTCTGGATATTTTTCTGTGAGTCACTTCCTTGAAAATTTTGAAAAGCTATTTGTACAGTTTTGATCTTCTTCCTCTACAGTTATCTCTTTTTAAGACGTGGACATTTCTCTAATAACGTCATCGGTTGTGCACAGGTTTTAGAAAGCGCATTTCTATGATCATAAATAATGGACACCTACATTTTTGTCTTCTTCTCTGAGGAGGTAAGCCTACTGGTGTAATCGTTGCTGTAATGAACCAATATCAACTTAATATCTTTTTACGGGTCACTTATATCGAGCCAGCCCACGCATCTCGAGGTGATAGATGTTCGTTTTACTCATTCCAATTCATACCTGATGACCAACTTTTGCTGTAATAGAGACAGTCGTCTCAGGACCCTTTCCATTTAGGACCTTACGAATGATCCTCTCCTGAAGACGCACATACTTGAATTTTCGTGCCCTCAAAGGCCGTACACTTTATTTAGTCTAGGGTCTTTATTTCGATAGGTTGCTGATCCCCACCACCCTTAAATTGTCTCCAGAAACTTTGCTCTCCTTTTACAATGAAGAACTTTTGAAAGGATTCATCGACTTACAGCGATGCACACAGCCCAGATATTAGTGCTCTGTTTTCCTAGATTTATTCACCCCATGTTTGTAGCCATGCGAATTATCCAGGTTACAGGCTTGGATGTAAATAATTTTTCACTCACCTTTGGCCGATGTGTGATGCTAGCTTGGAGCTTTCAATTAGCTTTTTTTTCTACTGATTAACCTTCAGTGTAAGTCTGCTTTAATTGGGGCAGAACCCCCTTCGTTTCAACTGCTTCCTATTCACCTCATTCATTCTTATCTGCATTTAGAAGCTGTCTCCCAAGCTGTACTCCGTTGAGGGGCTTCTTTAACTTTCATGGAGAGTAACCAATGAAATACCGCTACTAACCAGCTGACATTAGACCTTAGGTTCATGGGATATATCTCAGGAATAGTTTGAACTCGTGGTTCATTACTGTACTCGTGAGAGTGCATTGTAATTATCGAAAATGAGAATCCTATCTATTCCCAGTGGTACGTACGATTGCGCGCTCCGCGGTTACTTGTTTTGCACGCAAAGCGTCTCTAGCGGGGCGCACTTTACTTTCATTGTTTGTACAACTGATTCACCACGATTTTTTCTGCTTAGAGCCCTTTTATGGAAGTTCTCTTTGGTTTGTTCCGTAAACCATATCAGGTTAAAACCAATTCAGATTACTGTAGTTGAGTTTTCGCCGTGATCCGTTATTGCAAGTTTCGCTCGTTCGCTCTTTATTGTGTATTGCCCTTGATTTTCTTTTGAACTTTTAATTCAGATAAGATATGTCGCCTTTGTGAGCATAGTTCCCTCTGTCAATTGCTTCCGATGGAGGGACCTCCGCTGGTGACTCGTCACTCGCTTGATGATGAAGATGTACACGGTGAATGAAGGAATTTGTTTAACTCCATTAGATTTCAAGCAACTCGACTTTTAGAGTTCGCGCTTAACCGACCCAAGAATGTAAAATTAAAGTGAAGGCTCTGAATCAATCACTGTATTTTTTATTTTATGTATCTTATGTAATACTTTTATCAGGTCTGGGGTACGGTGTTGGTGATGCTAGCAATGGACCGTTTTCCACGACTCTTTTGGAACCAAATGTACATGACGTGATGAGCATGGAGCTCGCTCATCACGAAATGGGCGGTATGTTCAGACCGAATGTTTTTGCGGCTATAGTTTTCTTATACTGTTACAGTCCATGACGAAATTTTGGGGCTTTGCAGCTGTTACAAAATGCATCAATTTTTTAGGCTATTTGGATCCACGGAGTTTTGGTGGAGGATCATTGGGATTCGATGATTATAACGGTTCTGCTATCGCTTCTCATCCCAGTACTAGCAGACATCCCATGTACCTAGTCGCATTAAATAGAACACTTCAGGCTCATCGTCCTTGTATGATGTGAATAGCGCATTTGGAGATGACATGTCCAGTGATCAGAAAAGTTTATTCGGCAATGACGCTGTTCCTTTCGCACAATGTGAGTATATTTTGATGATATAGACTTGTTCAAGGCAGAGTGGCTTCATACTTCGGGGTGGGCTGTGTTGAAAGTGGAATGGTGACTATCAAAATATCACGGGGTCGATGACTCGTGCGTCGCATTCCAGTATTTAGTGCATTCACAAACGCTCAAACATGCCTGTTCGCTAATAAGCTACGGATATGAGTGCTGTAATTTCTTCATAAGCGAAAGAAGGATTTTCGCTCATCTCCCAAGCGAAGTATGAAGGCGGCCGATCAGATTAGATAAGGGAAGGGGCAGGGATGGCTTCTCGAACCTTTCATTTTTTGAATTTGTCCACCAATAAAAGCGATTCTTTTTCAGTGAATCCAAGTCCTCAAGTGAAAACGAGCGGTCGAACAGAGCTTGTTGCAACAGTTCAGAATAACAAATACGATAATGCTGTTGTAAGGTCAGTCGCTTTGTTGTAACTAAACCCTGAACGAGTTTCCCAGTTGTGTAAAATTGTCTGAAATGAATACCTTCAACTTTTCAGGTATGACCAACCACGAAATGTGCCCACGTACCCTGTAAAAACTGCTGATCCTTCTACATGCACTCAATATGCTCCAGTCAGAACTCTGCTAAGGTACTAGACAGTAATGTTGAATGTTTTTTTTTTGCCTCCCAAAAATGAGTCACTCTTCCCAGTTCCACCATGAAGTCCCACGGCACTCCCAGTCGACGAACAGCGTCTCGTAGCGCACAGAAAAAAGAAGCGATCGATCCGAAGAGGGTAGAAGACGAAGTAGCCAGGTGCGACATTTCTTCCGTAATTTTAAATCATTAACTTCAAAATGTAAAATTGAGTGCTGATCACAACACGCCTCGTAAACTAGGAATGCTTGAAAGNGAACGATTTTGGGTAATCGGTTCGCCGCACGCGGCTGTGGCGGACCACTCATTCGCCGTTATTACTGCTCTAACGTTCTTCCTACAGCTCAATCGATATGCGATNTTTTTTTTTTGCCTCCCAAAAATGAGTCACTCTTCCCAGTTCCACCATGAAGTCCCACGGCACTCCCAGTCGACGAACAGCGTCTCGTAGCGCACAGAAAAAAGAAGCGATCGATCCGAAGAGGGTAGAAGACGAAGTAGCCAGGTGCGACATTTCTTCCGTAATTTTAAATCATTAACTTCAAAATGTAAAATTGAGTGCTGATCACAACACGCCTCGTAAACTAGGAATGCTTGAAAGACTCCAGTGTTATTCATCACCATTTATGGTAGTTATTAGACTTCTCTCTGCTATATCGGACAAAATTGGGTGGATATTTAAGAAGTGTATTTGCATTTGATGTTTGAAATGAAAAAATACAAAGTTAATGGCGTCAGAATCAAGTTTATTGGTGGTAACAATAAGCCCGTAACCAGTTTTCTCAAATTTTTTTCTTCAGAAATGTGTCGCAAATTTTATCGGCCACAAAACAGCAACGTCTCGCAATGGAAGCTCAACAGCGCAGCGGTGCTGTTGCGCCACAACCTCCTCGAATCGCTTACGCTTGTCCTGACTGTCACAAAACTGTAACTAGTACTAGAAACTTGCAGGTACTCATTCGTTGTTCACTGTTGAAGTGGCGCTTTCCATTGACGATTTTAATATGGGATGTTTAGCGTCATCGTCAAACTTGTCCTGCTAGAATGGGTAACGGCGTTACTCCACTGGGAATGCCTTCATCCACAGCATCCACATCTTCCGTTGCAATATGCCCATCATCTACCTCGGTGATGATATCACCAACATCGTCGTATTCTAACCTTTCTTATTCTAACTACAACCTCGTAGGCGTTTCTTTTTGATACGACGGTAAAGTTCATGTTATGAACTGGCCTTGCTTTCCAGTCTACTGATGATCAACAGTACGCGGACTGGTCTCGCAGCAATAGTTATTCCGCCCCGCAATCTGTATCTAGTCAACACGAGCGTTGTTTGAACGAGCCAGCTGATCAACTGGGTACACTGGATCCTAATAGGTAAGACTCTCATTCCTTCAGATAGTCTATGAATTTTTTGGGACTTCCAAAACCATGAGAATGGTGTTTAGTTTTAGCATCTCATGTCGCCTCGAGGATGCTTGCTTGCATCCCCTATCTCTGGACCTCGATGAACCCCGAGCTCTTTCTAGTAGCGGTTCGACAAGTTCTGCCTCCACGGGAACTCATTCCTCTGGTACTATATTTATGTAAGTTTAAGGCGATGGTCCTATCATCTTATATCTTTCCAAAGTTTGGGAATCTGATTCGTTTATTTTCAGATGTGAGTCATGCAAGAAATCAGTCTCTTCATTGCGTAGTTTGAAACGTCATCACACTACGTGCAAACAATACATTGCCGAGAATGGCCCTCCACTCGACAGCGAGTAGGTTTTTTCTTTATTCTCTAGTTCTGAATCTCATATGATTTTCGTTTAAATTTCGTTTCATTTTCATTGTTTAATGAAGTCAGCTTTCTCCTTGTTTCTCAACGTTTGAGCACGAGTGTTTGTTTGCATTTTATTCGTTTGAAATCGGTGTGAGATTGGCCAGCTGCAGAAAGAAACTCTTTCGCTTTCACTTTGTTGAAAGGGCATATTGCAGCCTTAGACCAGGTGCTGTCGTTTCAATTTATGTAAGATAGCTTTGTGAAGTTTGAAGAATCATATCAAGCGCCTCGAGTAGTTCCATGGATGTTGGTGAATCTCATTTCATTTTTTCCTTTAGAAAACCTATGGCATGAAATATTGTGTAGTCCTTATGTTGTAGTGGTGATTTCTGCTTTTCAGCCGGTCATCAACAAAGCAGAGCAACAATGCTGCAGCACCAAGCGGTAGTAATTTGCTGACTGTGGCCGGAATGAATTCTTCTGTTTCTCCTGGCGTTATGAGATCCACTTTGTGCTCGGTACCCTCATCATCATCACGTGTCACCGCCGTAGTCACTGTGATAGCTGCTGAACGTGGTGATACCAGTTATCAGTTTGATCCATGTTCGAATGCCCCTCCTCAGTTGCCGCTCGTTACATCGTCATCGTGCCGTTGTTCGTCACTATCCGACTGCATCTGCACGCCGTCAACTTCACCTCAGCAGTCTCTGTCGTGGTGTGTTTTGTCGTGTATTCGTTTCTACTTAAGATGGGCAAGACTATATTTTAATCTTTCCAAAAATGCTCAAGCACAGAGAAAGGCGAAGGGATGAGTTCAGAACGGGGACGTCCGTTGCGCGCGTTCGTCTAAACTAGGTCACCCTATCCAATTCTCGCGCGGCGCAGCCCACTGCGAACTCGAGACGACATTACAGCATCACTCGGTTTCAGTGGACCGAATGGTTTGGGGAGACGGGCGTTAGGAACGATTTTGGGTAATCGGTTCGCCGCACGCGGCTGTGGCGGACCACTCATTCGCCGTTATTACAGCTCTAACGTTCTTCCTACAGCTCAATCGATATGCGATCATTATTTTATGCATAATTCTACTACTAGTACTT